ATTACCAGATCATCATTAAGAAGTTCTTGAAATATTTGGTAGCTGAAAGTAGGGAGCATTTCAATTTGGATTTTATGCCGATTATATGCTTCTAAATTCTGCTCGTTAGGTTTTATAGTTGTTCGATAATCTTTAAAAAAAAAAAAGTTATTTTAAAACTTATTGATAAATTTGCATAAGCAAAAATTACCTTCGTTTTAAATCAGCAAGCACACAGCCCGAACCATCAGCTAAACCATAATTCAAGCTTTGTATTTCTGATATCATTTGCATTGTAATTGTTAACTTGTTCATTGTATATCCGTAGGATTGAACCGTATGTGTGGAAGAGTCACCAGCCATTTCTCTAATTGATCCAAATAAACCTTCAAGCATATCCTGAGATAGTCTTCTTGGTTGAATTATAGCATCTGGCCAATTAGTAAGTACATATTCTACAATTTCAGAAAATCCATTTATTGATAAAATCAAATTAAACTAGCATTGCGTGGAAAACCATTGACTTGAATCTTTCTTTTATTTATCACCTTGAATGAACCATTGTTTTATTTCCTTCAAGGTGTTCAAACATGAATTTTCAAGAGAAGAAATACATATTCAACTATGTGTAATATCTCGATACATACATGCGTAGTGAATAAATAACTAGTGATATACAACAGTGTGTTAATTTTAGATAATGACAAATAAATAATATCGAGTTTTAAAACTACTAGGCCACTTTTAACTCAAAAGTTCTAAGTTTTGAATACAAATTTTTCTAAATTGAAAGAAAAAAGACTATCTAAAAAAAATTTTAACTCAAAGTACTAAATACTATCCTTTCTTTAATAAATAACGTTATTCGACGTTCTCTGACGATCACGTCAGGAGGTTTAAATAAATAAATAAATCAATAAAAAAAAAAAGACTATTCTAGCTTAAATCAAAAAAAAAAAACTACAAACCTGAGTGCCTTGGGAAATGTGATTTAACTCCGGAATATTTGCTATTGCTTTTTTGACATCGAATGACAGTGTATATTCCACAAGGTCCACTCTTATTTTGCTTCAAGGGGTAAGCCAAATATGTCATTTAGTCAATTTAGTAGCTTTTGCTATCTCATGTTTGGCTGTATGGTGATATACTCCTTAAAAATATCACTAGCTAATTTTCTATCTGTCAAATATTATTTCTCTTACATTTTTGTTTCCATTATTACTAGTATGACTTTTAGAAATATTATTTCTCAACTTTTTAAAAACATGGGTTGGATCGT